CAGCACAGTGGCCAAATGCGGGTTGACAGAGTACATGTTTCTCGAAGTCTAAGCAGATTTTTCACTATAGTACTCGTATATACTACTCCGTACGTAGTAATATATTATGATAATTAAAAAATGTTATTTAGTGCTTTCTAAATCTCCAAATTAAACTTTTAAAATCTTTAATACAACAAACTATAATGAAAAGCGAAAGATTTTATGAATGATATAATAGCCAAATGATTTTATTAACGATATAATTTAAAGTATGTAATACTTTCACCAAGAATTCTTACTTCACACACGAGAAAGCACGACCCAGATTTATTTACATTAAATAATTATATAAAAACTTGTCTTAGGCAGAAAAATATTATTACAAATATCTTGCCATTAATTAATATAAATAACTTCTAGATAAATAGTATATTGTCAACCATCGTTCACAGTAAATCAAACGGAAACTAGGTTATACGTTTTTACAGAAATATAATCAATCAATACTGATTAATAATAATCAGTTTAAATGTATTCGAAATCAGCTGATTAGCTTATTTTATGAACAATAGCTTGTTTGGTTTTAAATACTAACGACTTTGCTTCGCTCGCATGAGTACCTAGGTGCCTGAGTCATAGGCATTTGTGTACCAAATTTCACCCAAATACGTCCAGCCGTTTCAGCATACGTAACAAACATACACACGTACAAAAAAATCCATTTACATATAATGATACTAACTTATTTACTTACTGGCTTATTTACTTACTCAGCGACCGAAAGTGGAGTTTCGCCTTCGACACTAGATTTCACCTTGAGCAGCTTATAATACAATATAAATAATATAGTCCGATAAAGACACAAGCACGGAATACCAAGCCAAAATTATTTCAAACATTTTTACATCTATACTAATCCGTATTATCCGTATTTTATACTAAAAATGTGAAATTTTGTATGTATGGATGTTTGTTACTCTTTCACGCCAGAACGGCTGAACGGGTCTGAAAGAAATTTGGATAGGTTTGTTTTTGTTTTGCTAAACTTGTAAGCTACTTATTTATATATTTTTTGTTTTAATAAATAGGTAAATGCAATGACAGTATGATTTATTATTATCCTTCTATTCAATAACAAATTCGTTAACTGTTGAGTGACGCAAATTAAATTGTGAGTTACGAGTAGTTATCACCATCCGTTGACGTCACTCACATAATTGTTCATATCCCGTTAACTAAATTCCCTATTTACTTTTTAAGGTGAATTAGGGCGAATTAAAATTGTTCATTGACTGTCTCATTTACACGACCATTTAGTGATTATTTACTGTATGGTAATTGATAAATATGTAGAATACTTGTGCAGTATGAAGAATTTTTGAAGTAATTTCGTTGACTGTATTGAGTTATTTCAATCCTACTATCCTACTAATATTATAAATGCGAAAATTTGTGAGGATGTATGGATGTTTGTTAGTCTTTTACGCAAAAACTACTCAATGGATTATAATGAAACTTTACAATAGTATAGCTCATACATCAAAATAACACACAGGCTACTTTTTATCCTTAAAAAATGTACGGTTTCCGTGGGATAGATTTGTTTGTATAAAACTGGGTTGTATTTAATAGTAATATTCAAATTAATAGAAAAAATCAGTAAGGTATGTCTTAATATACCTACTTTCTTTTTTTCGTCTTCTTCTCTTGATCTTTAATTTCGCCTCGAGTATTTAATTAAATAATTTCAAACGATGACTTTTATTCAATATTAATTATTGTATCATGAAATATTTTTTTGATTTTAATTAGATGTAAAAAAGAATTATATTTTTTCCCTTATTATTTCTATTATTTTATGTTAATTACTAATTTATAATTAAATAGATTTTTAACATCTTATGTTTTGGTTGTTTTAATACACACTGTGGAATCCTTTCAAAAGAAGTGGATCTAAAAATTGTAACTCTTATTGGTTATCCAAAAGTAAATAAACAATATTTTAGATTTTCTACAACAACTAGCTACTTTCCTGGCTTCGCTCGGGTGGTTCGGAGTCTAGCCGGAACAAATAGAAAGACAGACAGACAGACAAAAAAATGTGTTTTTCTTATAGTATACATTTATTACGGTACACCGTATAGACGTTCATATGCCTTTAGTAAAAAGCTGTCATTTTGACATTACAAACAGACACTTCCAATTTTATTTATCTGTATAGACTATCATTAATCACCAATAACTAAGGTGGTTATTTTGTATCATTAAAATGTTATAGACATATTATGTACTAATTTCAATATAGCTTTTATTTTTGTTCGTGGATTTTAATTTTTCAGTACATGTAATTGTTTCGATAATTTTCATCGCGCTCGGTAATCTAAATATATTAATCCTGTTGTCAACCGAATGATAACAATTAGCAGCCGTTAACCCACCGCCAATTGAGTTAACGCTTCATACAAGTACAAGCGTTAAATTTGTCACAATTACTCGTATTTGCTTATCTGTCCTTCGTTTATATAATAAATATTACTTTAGGACCGCTGTTTAAGAGATACTTAGATAAAAAGTGACCTATGCATTAATCCTGTATAAATTTTCATATTTTTTTCGTATATCAATCAAATCCATTCAACTGTTACAGTGAATTATTGAGAAAGTAACATACGTATACATACACTTTAATTTTAAACTTTATATAAATAGCATTGCCCGCGGCTCTGGCCGCGTTCAGATGACCAAAAACCAAATTCATAGGTTTTACATATTAATATACTCTAACATTGCAGTTTTTGTATTTTTCTCACAAATGAGATATTTTTCCAGGGTAAAAGTATCTTATATGTTGACCCGGATAACCAGCTATCACCATACCAAATTTCATCAGAATCCCTCCAGTGGTTTTTCTGTGATGCGGTAACAGACAGACAGACAAAAATTCTAAAAACTATAGATTCGGCCTCTGTATCGATAATAATGTTATTTCAATTAGATTTTCCAAAAAATATTTAATGTACAGATTCCACTTAGTTACAATTTTATTATATGTATAGATAATGTATATATAACATGTAGTATAATTTTGACTCAAAGTAATGCACAATTTACAAAACATCAGTAATCTTATAACTGGATTTGTAGTGCAGCATCTTAATAAACTCAACTTTATCGCGATTTGAAATATTTTTCTAGAACAGCAAAAATAAGGAAGGAAAGCGGAAATAAAATTTCCTTTTCTTATAAAAGTACTCGCCTCGTGCCCTAACTACAAGGTCGACTAAACGGCGTCGCTCAAGGACGAGCGCCCTTCAATTTTAAACAATTACCTAACTATTTCTCTTCAATCGCTGGCACGAGGTTATCATCGACGTTTTTACTAAACTTTTAAATGCTATTCTTAGATTTTTTGCTGTTAGTCACTTCCATATATTGACTTTGAACCATTATTTGTCTTATTTTCATAATCATTTGATAGAACAGAAATTTAAAACGCACGGCCATCTTGGACCGATTTTCATCAAACATAACCCCGAACACTCCCGAATAATTCACCGTTCGGGAGCTACGATGCCACAAACAGACACACAAACGCGCGCGCACACACACACACACACACACACACACACACACACACACACACACACACACACACACACACACACACACACACACACACACACACACACACACACACACACACACACACACGTCAAACTTATAAAAACGCGTCGTTTTTGCATCGGGAGTTAAAATTTGATGAGATAACATATACTTTCAAGCAAATATATTTACTTTTCATCTCACATAACCTTTTAATATGCCGCATTGTAACTATTTTGGTACGACACCTAAAATATTCTTATACCATTCCGACAAATTTTCCTTCAGAACCTAGTGATATATTTTTTTTCTATTTCCGTCACGAGAGAGACTTTGAATTGTTTATGAGAGCAGCATTTCGTATCGATCGATATTCAGTTGATCTTTAAATGGAAATGTCAGCTAAATAAATAATATTGACGAAGAGATTTTGTATTGAGGAAACAAACATAAAAATATCAAGCAACAACTGTTTGTTTCATAATGTTAACATAGTGTGTTTGTTAGTAAATACATATTATAAGATCAAAGAACTTATGCTCAGTCAATACTGTGTTTAAATATTAGGCCTTACGTGAAAATTACGAAAGAAAACAAACATGAGCTTATAAATAACTAGCATTTCCCACGGCTCCGCTGCGTTCAGATGACCAAAAACCAAATTTTTAGGTTTTACATATTAGTATACTCTTACATTGCAGTTTTTGTATTTTTTCTCAGAAATGAGACATTTTCCCGCGATAAAAAGTATCCTATATGCTGACCCGGATAACCAGCTATCACCATACCAAATTTCATCAAAATCCCTCCAGTGGTTTTTCTGTGATGCGGTAACAGACAGACAAACAGATAAAAATTCTAAAAACTATAGATTCGGCCTCTGTATCGATAATAATGTCTATTTCAATAAGATTTTCCAAAAAATATTTAATGTACGATTCGGCTTAGTTACTATTTTATTATATGTATAGATAATAATGAAATCCGAAACGGAAGTCTTGAAATAGATCAATAATCGTAAAACTCGAAGAGTCATTGAACGTACTACAACTTGTGAATTGAAATATCTTGATATTAAAATGTAGTACAGAATTTTTAAATAAATTACTTTTAATATTGAATAACTTAATAAGGTTTATATTATAACTAATTGTATATTTCGATTATAAATTTTTAACTTAACAATGCTTGTAATTAAAGAATGACTTGTAATTAATTTGGCTGTATAAATTATTGTTTGTAAGTTAAAGCGAAATGTTCGTGAATTTCGATCGATTTTCACAATTCCTTTTTTTATTGATGAATAGGAATCGTAAATAATTTAAATAAATACCACTCCATAGTAAATAATTTATTTTAAGTTATTTTCAGGAAATTTAGTGAGGCTAATATTTTTTTTTATTATTTGTCTACAGGTCTTAGCGGTTCGAAAGCGGACATGCAGCACAGGCGCGAGGTGTTCGGATCGAACTTGATACCGCCGAAACCTCCCAAGACTTTCCTAACTTTGGTATGGGAGGCGTTGCAGGACGTAACACTAATTATATTGGAAGTAGCTGCCGTGGTGTCGCTGGGATTGAGTTTTTACAAACCGACCGAAGACGCATCCGATATTGGTATATTTTGTTTTATTTACGCTATCTAAACTGACCGAAACATTTTGATAGGAGCATCGAAATACATGAAAGAGAAATATGATGGATATACGACTGTATGGATCATCACCCACTTACGTATAATGCTATAGAATAAAATTGTTATTAATAACGTAAACGTCTACGAAGTCTATCTGCATATCATAAATGCCACCAAGGGCAGACAACGAATTTCTCATTCAATTTGTTTGTTTCAAACGAATATTGCTTAGACGTTTTTATTATTTGTAATAAAATGAAGTGTTTTTATAAAACAAAAAAAATAATAAATATTCAGAGATGCTACCTATTTTTGTGACTTTTTTATCTGATAATAATTTTTCTTAATCGAATCTATGCACTCGTGTAAAACATATGTATGTAGTTATTTAGAGGATGATCGAACCAGCGTAATTTTTAACTGACAACGATGTTAAATTATTTGACGTTAACACAATGCATTGTTTGAAAACTCATCAAATTTCTCGAGTTACTATATCTGACACCAGTTTCAATAGAGTTATTCGAATAACACAGGAAATTTGCATTTGTGTAAACCTTTCGTGAATTATCCAATATCAACTAGCGATTTTAAACACACAAACCAGAAGGCTTAGGAATTTTAGTGTTCTCTCCCGATACAGAATTAGTTTAGTGATTCAAAAAAAAAATTCAAATTAAAATTAGCAGAGAGCCAGTAAAGGTAGAATCAGTGTACATAATTTGTAATTAATAAGTGTATTTTCTCTTTTCAATAACAATATGGAATCATTAGATGACCCTGGTAAGAAAATGTACATGTAAATAATGGTTTTTGTACCTCCTGCACCTTGCTCGTATCCTAGTGTGTGCGCATTGCCCAATAGGACAAATACGTATTTGGTGACTGCAACAATAATTGTGTGTTCAGTTGTAGCTACAACCGTTACTTCCATCAATCCTCTGTCGATCCTTCAATTTTCTACCATGGTTTTTCATCTCGAATTCGTTTACTTGTTGTTATGAGTAAGTCTGAACGTAACATGATTAAATGTTCCATTTTAATTTTAATTCGAGATGCCATGGTTTTATAGGGCATGTTTTTTTTTAGTTGCTTCCAAAAGTAGTTCACGTGTTAGTAGTGAATGCACCCTGGCTCTGTCCGTTCCAAAATAATCCTACCCGCTTCTGCTAGCCATAAGCTAAACGGTCGTGATTTGTAAACGTTTATTAGTTTGTACGTGACAATCACTATTTAAACTGAATACGTGCGTATTCAACGTCTTTCCTTAGTGTGTACAATAAATAAAAATGTCCTTTTAATTATATGTTTCAAGGTTTTGTTCCAAGATTACACTGACTTATGGCCATTGTTCATGTTTATATAATATGATATTAATATTTTTTTAGGTTACACGAATAAACTGCTGCTAGTTATAACGCAACCTTTTTCCTATTTTAAAATACACGCAACCTTTCCTGTCGACTTCTTTCTTCATTATTGGCATGATATAAAAAAAATCCTTTAATTTTTACTACTAAATGTTACTAGTAAAGTATACATAAGGTCTATGTGATTTTATTTCCATATATCAAGGGCAATTTATCATCGATAGTGGCAATGTTCGCTTGAGGGGACAAATACAATACTGGCTGAAATGGCTAGTATTACAGCAACAGTCGATCATTTGGTTGAATAGATTGCCATCCGATATCGGATCCATTGATCCGGACTAATGCGCTAATATGAATTAAATACACGATAACTTTTAAAATATTAACTTTATATTGAGGAGATAATTTAAATCAAGTATTAAATAAGTCATTTATTATTTTCACAAATTATAATATTTTGTCAGTGTATTGAAAATTAGTGCTGATGAAAGAGAAATTGGTTTCAACAAGGGAACACAGTGTTTTTTTAAATGCTTTTAAAACTCTTCCCTGCCAAAAGAGCTAATGTTGACCAATAAAAATGTGGACAATAATTAAGTTGTTCAAATATAATATTTCGCTGACCTTTGAAAATATCGATGGCACGACACTTCTAAGGTCTCACTGAAGAATATCAAGACAGTCTAAAAAACATTGTATGATTATTTACTAGATTTTATTATTTTTCAGCGCACTTGGACGAAGAAGAAGGTCACTACCAATGGATCGAGGGTCTGGCTATCTTAATATCTGTCATAGTTGTCGTCATAGTCACAGCGTTCAATGATTACACGAAAGAGAGGCAATTCAGGTAAATTAATGGGAATTATTAGTAACTTCTATAGAATTATATTAACATTTTACCATAAATTATAAATATATTGATTTTATTTTAAAATTGATTATTATTAAGGAAGTTCTAATTAAAGAAGAAAGTCAGAATGCTATTGTTTATAAATTTCATAGAATTTCTTGTATTGTTCACCTTCTAGCTATAATTTAATAACATGAACGAATTGTGGTTAATTCGTCCATGTTTAATAAGTACATTATATTTTTTACACTGTTGGATTACCTATGTACTCGTATATACGTATAACTAGATTTATCCTGCAAGAATGTTTTCGTTTGAAGATTAAATAATTATTTTCTATAGGGCTTCGCTCACATATTTCGATTATTTATTACTATAGCTTTATATATTACTAGCGACTCACCTTCGCTTCACTCAGGTTCGTCCCTAGGTTCATTCCCCATACAAACTTGTATCCCCATTTTATAGGAAGATCTTTTTAAGAGAAATAATTATGTAATACATTGTTTTCATATAACTTTATTAGTTTACGCGGCGCACGCTAATAATGCTCCCAGTCGACATAATTTTTTCGAACATCTTCAACATTCATTGTCATATTTCAGCCAATTTACACAAAACCTTAATGAATTATACGCCTAAACTTTCCTCATGAATCACTCCATCTATTGGTGAACAGTATGAAAATTTGTTCGGTAGTTTTTGAGTTTATAGCGTTCAGACAGACAGACGCGGCGGAGGACTTTATTTTATAATATGTAGTGATGTCTTCGAATCCAAATTTTCATCATCCATCCCGATATTCCAGGGGGCTCCAATCACGGATAGAAGGTGAACACAAGTTCGCGGTGATACGAAGCGGCGAAGTGAAACAGATACCGATAAGCGATTTAGTTGTAGGCGACATCTGCCAGATCAAGTATGGCGACCTGCTACCAGCTGATGGTGTACTGCTGCAGAGTAACGACCTTAAGGTTAGTTTATGAGAACTTATGTTATAAACTAATGCAGCCATACTCAACCATTTTTAGAGGAGCCACAAACACGTTTTAGTCATGGTGTCGAGGGCCACAAGCAAAAATTATTTAGGTCTTAATGAAAACGTAATTCCAAGTTAACGATGTAGTTACTTTTTTAACAAAGAGTTATAATGCGATTTTTGATGCTGCCGCATGCGGCCCGCGGGCCGCAGGTTGAGTATAGCGGAATTAATGACACAGCCTGGTTCCGCTTCGGTTTGTCCATAGATACAGAAGTATACCTTTTATACCATGTCAAGTCCTCCAACTATCTCTATATATAAAAACAAAATCGATATTCTCTGTTTATGTTATTATAATGTGTTTTCTTGTATTGAGATACTTTCCCGCGATAAAAAGCTTATCTCTCTGACGAGCCCTCCAAATGTCTCTATTTAAAAAGGAACGATCATCCTCTGAGAAAACTATTTTCATTTGTTCGGTTAAATATTGAATTTATTGATTTTACAATAAAAATTAAAACATTATAAACTCGATTATAAAGAAATTAAAATAGGTACTATAATTTGTACATTTGTGTAAGTGTGGAAATGTATGCAATTTATTTTTGATAAAATTTATACAAAAATATTAATTGGATACTAAAAAGTAGGCTAACGAACATTTTCAGTGGCATTTAATACTTTTAAACGCGCCGCATATCGGTCCGGTAACGTAGATTAGGCTAGTATCGATAAAATATGAGATAACCGATTTGTTTATCAGCCGAACGAACTTTTGTTTTGAAGGTTTGACGTCATACAACTTTAGCTCAAATAGTGTGTAAGTTTTTATATCATAATATAAGGTTTGACCATTATAATGTCAACTTAGTTTTGTAGGGCACTAGCGACTTACCCTTGCTTTCTCTTGCTGTTACATCCTTAACCATTTCCCTGTCCCATGAGTCATATATGAACATTTCGATTATTTAACTATTGTGTCTATTTTGCGGACAGTTAAGTTGTTAAACTTGAATGGCTTAGTGATGCATACAAGACAAACGTCCAAACAAAATTATTTTTTTGGGCCAGCAACTTTCGCAGGTGCGTACAGAATAATAAAAAAAATATTCTGTATACGGAAAACTGTTGGAGTTTCATTACAATCAAATCAATGGTTTAGGAATGCATAGAGGACAAACATACGAACATTTATTCATATTTATATAGATATTTATTAATAATAATAAGTATAATATAAATATATAATAATATAAAGTAATTCATTTGTTAAAATTTATTTACTTTCTGAGTTGATTATGTAAAGCTTTCTTCTAATATATGTACATACAAGACCATGAATGTGGAAAAGCTAATATGTTTATTTTCATTAAATTTGTGTTATCTATAAATATATAAAAATTTTCACTTTTGATTTAATACTTTCGTGTAGCCTGCATAGTGTATATACTTAAAAAGTAGTTTCAGCCCCATTGCTAACGCAAGAACTAGGACAGGCAAGTGAAGCGGGTTCATATTCGGACTTTGAACGTCTAACATTTTTATATGTACATCTTTTTAAAATACGCAAAGTAAAACATGACATAAATCACAGAGAAACTAACTTTTGACTACCTGACGCATGAAGCCCGACAATTTGTTTTTTTGCTAGTGTAGATGACTATGGCCTCTCACCCTCGCACTGCGGAGAGGCTCCCAGTGGGACGTGCAAAGGCCCCAATTATTGTTACTTTAGATGTACGTATATATAGCCTTGGTCACATTCAGAAGTTGAAAACTAAATGAAAATACCATATCTATATTATGTAATTATAATAATACAAACATATAAACGTGTTTACCTATTTATCTTTCACCTCGTTACGAATTGCGTCAATTTCAAGTCCAGATAAGGAGGTAGCAATACAGTGATTTGATAACGGCATAGGGAATGCGGTATTTTTATCTTATTATCTTTATTTAATTGTCACTAATGTTGAGATTTTTTATATATTACTAACAACTCACTTTCGCTCCGCTCGGGTTCGTCCCTAGTTACGTTTTAACGTTTAGTACGGATTTCTCAGATTTAGATATTTTCTCGTAGTAAAAATTATCCTATATGTTGACCCGGATAACCAGCTATCATCGCACCAAATTTTATCAAAACCTGTCCAGTGGCTTTCTCGTGATACATTCCCAGACAAATAAGATTTTCCAAAAAATATTTTTTGTACAGATTCAACTCGGAATTTTATTATATGATAGATTGCAATATAAGAAATTCCACTAATTCAATCAAAAAGGTCCTTTGCTAAAGATGCTCCAGATTTCTTCTGGGTTTCTGCAAGGGGCTTTATTGGCACACTAATATCAGGTTTTTCTTTATTTAAATGTTTATTTTTGTTAATATAGTAGGTACTTCAGTTTATTTATATCTCACGGTTATTATAGAAATGATTCGCTCATGAAAATATTAGAGGTGCGAGACCGGGGATTTGAACCTGCTTCACTCGGTTTCCCCAGCGAGCGCGTTACCACTGCCTATATTACATCCATTAGATTACATTTTTGGTACTTGAAAATAGCCATAATAATGTCTCTCCAGGTCATAGTAGTTCATAGTCTGTCTATGTACTTTATTTAACCCAAATCCGCCTAGCAGTTTCAACGTGAAGGAAAACAAACATACACACACACAAACTTTCGTGTTTCTAATTGCATAATTTTCTCATACAATACAATACAATAAATGTAGGTTTTTAAAGAAATCCATCCAAATGGGTGCTGTTATTCATCTGAATTTTTTCTTGTTTACGAGTTTAAGTCATTAAATTTTTAAATTTGTAAAAATTGTAAAAGTTTAATGTTTTAGTAATCTTAGTGGTATCTTATTTTTTTTAAATGATCATGTTCCTGTTTATTGCAGATTGACGAGTCGTCGCTGACGGGTGAATCGGACCATGTTAAGAAGGGAGAATCTTTTGATCCCATGGTGCTATCCGGTACTCACGTTATGGAGGGTATGTCTTATTACCAATTTTTATCCATGAGTTTTGAATAAAAATGTATGTCAAATCATCATTTTTTCAGTTTTTTTTAAATAAATACTATCAGTTAATATTTTTTATAATATAATAAAAAATGTATTAAAGGCGGTCTTAACACTAAAACTAACGTTCTTTACCAGCCAACATTTAGGCCATACAGAAAGTCCACATACATAGGTACTAGAATATAATATTCTAGTACCTATGTATGTGGACTTTCTGTATGGCCTAAATATATTATATGTGGACTTTAAAGTCCTCTGTAAGGAGAAATTATAGCGTGAAGTTTCACATGCACACGTCACTAACTACAGGATCCGGTAAAATGCTCGTGACCGCTGTCGGTGTTAACTCGCAAGCCGGTATCATCTTCACCCTATTAGGCGCCGCAGTAGATAAACAAGAGAAAGAGATCAAGCAGATAAAAAAAGGTCAGTCTTTTGTTATACAGCTAGTATTTGAATTGTTTTGTATACGGATTCTGCGCTCCTTATAGAAAGTCTATAGAAAATAAAATAGTCTGTTTTGTTTTTTTTGAATTGAAGACTTTCTATTAGGAATATTTAATCTGTAGTTACAGTGGAATGTGTCATTTTCTGGAGCAATTTAGCTTTGGAATAAATTTTTGTTTTTATTTCAACCAGAAAATGTGTTCCCAATAGTATTATATTATGCAAAATACTAGTTTAGTAATACATTGCTCATTTAGGCGTGTGTAGCTTTGATGCCTAGCTTGGATGCTTGTTTGTGTTCGGAAGTGGACCTTATGGTGTTGGGTTTAGAGTTGAGTTTAGCTTAGCTGGTTCTAAATGAGCATTGTAACGTTATGCTTGAGTAAGGCGATTAAATGGTGATGACAAGTGAATGAAATATAAAACTATATGTACGTATATGTATATAATCCGGAAAAATCTTAAATTTAAATTATCTTTTTTTATGTATTTATTAAAATATTATTCAATATGAGATTTTTGAATTTAATAAAAATCAATTTTAGTATTTATATTTTAAGCATTAATTCATTATGATAAAGTTCAAAGTCACTTGTCAAACACCATGGTGGCGAGTGTAGTTGCATAAACACATTGTTACATTGCCACCGCACTCCCATTACATCCCTAAGGGATGGTTTTATGCGAAACTGGTGAAATATTCTTATATTTTTTTTTCCTTAATATTGCATTAGTACATTAATTTAAAACTTTTTTTTTGGATCTATGATAAAATCATATTTTATTATCTGTTATCGTTTTTATTTGTTATAGTGTTGTCCGTTTACTAATTTATATGTTAGAAACTTATCACTTTTTTTTGTATACGTGAAAATGTATTCATTAAATTCATATTGTCAATATAAACGTCAGAAAATTATTTTCACCAATTTTGCCACTGTTATGAGATTATTTTATTTGTTTTTATCATAAAAATAATTTTCCATAATTCTAAGCAGTACAAGGTCATCCATTGTACGGTCTTGTTGGACGTTGTTCGTTTTGTGTTTGACTAATCGCCTGATATCCCAGCATGGTACATTACCCCTGTAATTTATCCCCTGTAGTACCCCACATGCTATCCCCATACATTATTGTTGATCATATGAAATAATCTCGTTTCAGTTCAAAATAAAAAATATACCCTAAAAGCATATCGTAAACGCAATTAGACGCAACGCCTGTGCATTTGAGCCAGAAAAAAAACTACAATCAAATGCTTGGGCGTAATAACCCTTAGATTTAGCGCCACTACATATAGTGACCCGTTCAATGACATCCTAATTTTTTTTTCTCCACCCCCGACCCCGGCCTGCCGCACACCCTCCATCGTCGATGAAATTAAAAAATAAAATTAAAAAAAAAACATACACATTTAAATTGCATCGTGTATCTGTCGTGTTGACTGCATGATGTAAAAAACAATGATATCGTTGTCATAAATGTGTATGCTTCATAATACTATTGGATAAAATCCTATGGAAATTCATCGAGTAGAAGCTAAAAAGCAGCGGAAGGAACAGCGCAAGAGTCTAACGGGTAAGTAACATCCTATGCTAAGCCCCGCTTTCTTTAGTCCTTGTACACTTGATGACAGAAAAAAATTAAGTGTTTTTTTAATTTATGTCATAGAATTTATTGGTTTTATTAAATATTCTGTCTTTAAGTGTATTGTAATTCTTCTGTAATACAACAATCTATAAATCATTAAAAATACTAAATGATTTATATAACAATTATTTATTTTAAATTACTATTGAACTAAGACAAACTCTCATACAAAATATGACACTGCAACCCTAATTTTAAGAGCACTCTAGTAGAAATACGTATGTATGTATTGGCCTAGACTTTTCTCTGCACCAGTTTTGAAATCATAAGTCCTAGTTGCTCGTAACTATTTTCGTTAGCACGTTTTACTTGAATAATTTTGCAACTAATCGATTTGTCTGGAAGTGTGTTTTGTTATTGTTTGGTATATACAGTATGCAATTGGCTTCAAATGAACTAACAAAGTGTTGTGATTGTGACATTAACATTAACAATGTTAATATTTGACCAACTAAATTGGCTTAATATGTATGTAATGGCTTCGCTTCAAATTAGCGCTTAATAATATCGGCGTAAAATATTTAAAATTTTTGTTGATGATATGATTATTTTCAAATACAACATTGGTTATATTATTTGGCTTTCGATGTGTACAGTTTTCTAAGAAATTTAACATAACAATACAAAAAAACAAAATCAACGAAACAACCGAAACACATACAACCGAAAATTACTCAACCATACAACCACATGAATAGAAATACCAAACGGTAGCAATTTATGATCAAAATCGTTAACAAAAAGCGCAACAACGCTAGGTGATGACGAACCAGCATCCGGCAACAGTAACCATGCGCGAGTGGACGACAACCATGTGCCGGCGCCCTCTGAAAAACCGCCGCCCGAAACTAGCCACAAGAAAGAGAAATCAGTGTTGCAGGCCAAACTCACGAAACTGGCTATACAAGTGAGTGTCATTGGATGTATATTTAGTAATACTGTCACAGATTTACGCGAATATTTGAGGTTCTATATATGTGTTTATTCTCGAAACTTCGAAAACCATATATCGAAATAAAAGGAGCTCGAAAAATAGGTCTATTTAAAATATATTGAGGTTATTAAATTAAAGAAATGTTAATTTAAATATCTAAGACCATGTAATATAATTTACAAACAGTTTAGCGTATTTGGTTATAGCGTTAACTCTCGGAACGTAAACTTTCCAAACGAGTAATATGCTATACTCAGTTATATATTCTTAATTTTATCTTTAAATTGTTGATAGGAGAAACTAAAATCTTTTGGATTTTATTATTTACTAACTTAGCGACGTTTCGCTCGAAGTCGACCCTATCTGCCTAACAGTAACATATGTTAATCCACGTCACAGTATATCCGTGCACTCATCCCAATTTGTTCAGCCGTTTCGAAGTGAAGGAGTAACAAACATATATAAATACAAACCTTCGCATTTGTACTCGTAATATAGTCCAATCAATACGTTTTACTCTATTTACCCAACAGATCGGTTACGCGGGCTCGACAATTGCGGTGCTAACAGTGATCATATTAGTTATCCAGTTCTGCGTGCATACATTTGTGATAGAAGGCAAAGTTTGGAAGGCTACGTACATCAACAACTTAGTGAAGCATCTCATCATCGGTGTCACTGTGCTGGTGGTGGCCGTGCCCGAGGGTCTGCCTTTGGCTGTGACGTTATCTTTGGCTTATTCTGTTAAGGTTGGTATATATATAATAGACTAGCGACTCACCCTAGCTTCGCTTGGGTTCGTTCCTAGGTGCAATGTCCATACGAACTTTTATCTCCATTTTCACCCCCTTAAGGAATGATTTCCGGGACAAAAACTATCCTATGTCCTTCCCAGTATCTCAAACTATCTTCTTACCAAATTTCATCTAAAACGGTCTAGTAGTTTTTGAGTTTATTCGTTACAAAAATACAAATCTTTCGTCTCTATAATAGTAGCGTAGATAATCATCTAATTCCATTACTAATAATATAAATAATTGAACAGAAAATGATGAAAGACAACAATCTGGTGCGACATCTCGACGCGTGTGAAACAATGGGCAACGCGACGGCCATTTGCTCAGATAAGACGGGAACATTAACAACGAACCGCATGACAGTCGTCCAATCTTATATATGCGAGAAGCTCTGTAAAGTCACACCTAACTACAGGGATATACCGCAAGAGGTCGCTGAGATCATGGTTGAAGGGATAGCGGTTAATAGTGCGTTTACTTCCAGGATTATGGTAAGTTTGTCTCTTTATGTCGAAGCCAGATTTCCTATCGTCGACCCTATTGCCTTTAACATAAGGCGCTTTATTATGTTTTATTGTATCGAGTTATACACTCAACTAATCACACTTCTCAAATACAACTTCGTCACTCACTACGTCAATCATACATTATCTAATACAACCCTCATTCTACTTCTTGAACATGATACCTGCACTACAATTCAACAAATTCGCCGTGAGAGGGCGCTAGTATAGAGTGAGGGCTCTAAAAATGTCAAATAATATTGAACATTTATTGTTTGCGAGTTTTTATTACGGATTTTCACTAACATTCACGATTATTGTAAAGATTGTGCCATTCCTGATTAATTATGGCAGACACGGTACAGCTCAATAAATCTTATTGGTTTAGCTTTACTTTAGGAAGGGTTAAGAAAAAGTCAATATTATATTTATTTGGCTACGATTAATTAATTATATTCAATTAAAATCCTGATAAATATTATATTAAAACACTGTCGCACTGACAAATACTTTTCAAAGACAGCGATAGGACCTCACTCGTCAGTGGCGCCAGCTGGTGCCGCCAGAAACGATATCCAAATCTTTTTATTGTTCATCGCGAGCAATTTTTGTTTATAAAATTCCAGTATGATACAAACTTCGGTTTGTATAGTTTTATATGAAAAATTAGCAAATATTTAAGATGTTTTAAAGAGCAATTTTAGATGTTTAGGTAAAAAATAGCCCAATGTAAAGTTGTTTCTTGATTACATTGATTTTTTTAATATTTTTGTACACATGTATAAATAATAAATAGATAGATGTCTATAGATATGCTAAAAAATATTGTGGTATGCTAAGGATCTTATTGCTCAAAGCAAACTCTACCAGTCAATATTAGGACTCAACAGGACGGAGTAAATATACTAATATTATCAATTCAACATTAAAATTAATACCATATAACTAATTTAAGTTGTTAACCGTCAAATAAATTTATGCTATGATCTAAAAAAAATAGAACCCTGAAAAGAGTCTTAAATTTTAATAAAATCTAATAATTTTTCAGCCAAACCAAGACCCAACGGGACCTCCAATGCAAGTCGGCAACAAAACTGAATGTGCTCTATTAGGTTTCGTAGTAAACTTAGGTCAAAGTTACGAAGGAGTTAGAGAGCGACATCCAGAAGAGTCCTTCACGAGGGTATACACCTTTAATTCCGTGAGAAAGAGCATGTCTACTGTGATACCGTACAAGGGTGGCTACCGCTTATACACTAAGGGAGCTTCCGAAATTGTTTTAAAGAAGTGGGTATTATTTTTTGTTTGTAATTGAAAAATTATCCATAAATATTTTGGCACATTAACACATAGCACTATCTAGTTCAATAGTAAGCTACGAGGCTCATGTTATGGATACCAGATAGTTGATACACTACATATATACAACTTTAAATACATACATTTTATAAAAATAAACACACCTGCGATTGAAGTACAAATATTGGTGCTCATCACACAAACGAATGCCTCGAACCCGGGACCGCTGGCACATCGAGTAGGATTCCTACAAACTGACTGACGTTTATCAGTGTAGTGGGCAGACACCTTAACAAGCATACTTTTCCCAGATGCGCATTCATCTACGGGCACGAGGGGCGGCTGGAGAAGTTCACGCGGGACATGCAGGAGCGGCTCGTGCGGCAGGTCATAGAGCCCATGGCGTGCGACGGCCTGCGCACCATCTCCGTGGCCTACCGCGACTTCGTGCCCGGCAAGGCTGACATCAACCAGGTATGGTAGAACCGAGCTGCATTCGGTGGTCCTGGGTTCGAGTCCCGGGTCGGGCTAACTATAGCTAGATGACATGTAAAAGTGACCCTTGAGGTCATCGATTCATTTTATAGTATTATTTTTTTTAAATATAATTTTAAAATATTTATAATTTTTTTGTTACATTACATTAAAAAATGATTGCGTGTAACCTTCACGCGCGTTTCAAGTAAAACTTCTTTGACAAATATCGCAATTAAATTAAAACAAATCAATAATGGCAACATGGCAATCTATTCTATCTCATTCACTCGCCGGCTTAATCCTGTATATTTATGTGTTGTCTCTTTTTAGAGTCGCATTTTCGTTATTAAATAAAACTATCTTTTTTGATCTGTGTAGATCAAAATGACAGCTTATCAGAGTAATATTTTTCATTTGTAAAAGTATATATTAATAGTGTTGCTTAGTAAGTTGTTTTTAAATAATAGCAAACTAAATTAAAATGATTATCCTTAATTAATTTTAACTTTTTTAAATTACACATAGAACAATTATATGGCTTTAATAATTAATACTATATTTTTATATTTTTATTTATGGTTATAAATATAATAATGGCAACACTAAATATAGATTACTAATTAATATTTTTAAAATTGTAATAATTATAAAAATAATAGCAAAAATTAAATAAATAATTTTCCATATTCAATTATAATTAAAATTATAAAAATGTTTAAAGTTAAAAAAAAAAATATTGTAATATAATTGGTGCAATTTTCATTTTGTTAATTGTGGGTAGGCTGTCTGTAACAACTATATCTTTAAGACATCTAACACCTCAGTCTCTCCCGTGACCATGGATGCTGTAAAGCATTCGAAACGTCGGGAACCAAAAAACAAAATAAATCCGCGAAATAATCCGAAAAGATAGTTTTATTTAATAATGTCAAACATTCGCGTAAATCTAAGAAAGTATTATCGCATTTTCGTTTCATCGAGTTTCAAATCACAACGATTCTAAAGAAGTTACACTTCAATAATAATAATATTGAATATAATATTGACTTAAACTTAAATTTTAATGTAACAGGTACACATAGACCAAGAGCCGCACTGGGACGACGAAGACAACATCGTAAACAACTTGACTTGCTTGTGCGTTGTGGGTATCGAAGATCCTGTAAGACCCGAGGTAAGGAATATATTTAATTATATTTACTTTATATATGCATACTATATAGTTTTTGTTTATTTTTATTTTATACATTTAATTTTGTTTGAAAGAAAAGTAAAATAATTATATATTTGTAAACACATAATTAAGGCCATATAAATATTCATTTATTCTTTCGATACATCTAAAACAGCTCACTCTGTCACTCACTTTCATTTTTAATCTTATCTCACATCATCTCCCTCTCATTCCATTCATCTCCTTTACAAACATAGCTCTCTTACATTCACTCTTAATATGTTTTCACTTACAAACAACATTTATATGCTTCATTTTTCTTTATTATATAGAAAGTTAGAACGTAAAATTTTCTTTACATATAATAAAATTGTAACTAAGCCGAATCTGTACATTAAATATTTTTTGGAAAATCTTATTGAAATAGACATTATTATCGATACAGAGGCCGAATCTACAGTTTTTTTAGAATTTCTGTCTATCTGTGACCACATCACGGAAAAATCAATAAAGGGATTTGGATGAAATTTGATATGATGATAGCTGGTTATCCGGGTCAACATATAGGATACTTTTTACGGCGGGAAAATATCTCATCTCTTAGAAATCTATACTGAACGATTAAACATAACAAATATACATTAAAATAATATACGTTTATTTTCTCGTCAGGTACCAGAAGCGATCAGAAAGTGTCAGAAGGCCGGTATAACAGTGCGCATGGTGACGGGCGACAACGTGAACACGGCGCGCTCCATTGCCGTGAAGTGCGGCATTCTCAAGCCCACCGACGACTTCCTCATACTGGAGGGCAAGGAGTTCAATACACGTATACGTGATGCTAATGGCGAGGTAAGATAGTTAGTGTTGGTACTACTATAGCTTTGGTGGTCTTTAATGTATGGCTGTATATCCAGAGATTTGAGTCCCGGATAAGGCTAAGTACAGATGTACGGTTGGTCTAACAAGAAATTGCCAGTAACAGCCTGGGGTTGAGTAATTGGCAGTGTTACACCCCTGTGCTGAGGCAGTACTAAATCTCCCGGTTGACATATTATGATCTCTCACTGCGGAGTTTGAGAGTGAATAAAATAAACAGTGGATGTTGTTTTTGTGCGCATGCGCGCTATGATATCTCCTAAATAAGTCTAGTTTCATTGAGATTGGTAGCCTTGATCGAAGTTGGTCAGGATTGAATGTGTGTGTTACTTTTTCACATTTTAACAGACGTTAAAACAGTATATGTGAAATATTTCTATAATGACATTAGCAAATATAGGACGATCTCAATATTACTACTCAATTAGAAACCCAACTTATCCTTTGTTTAAGAAAAGGTATTAACGTATTAATTTTTTCACATCTGAAGGGTTTCTGGAAGAAAATCTTTTATAGATTCCTTTTCCCACATTTTTAACTTTTATTTCGTCAACATATATTTTTATGGTAAATCTGCGGCTTCGCGTAAAACTTCCAATGGCTACCAAAATTCACAGAATCACCCGCTGTGCTAATCTAAATATTACCTAAAAATTTCATTAAAATTGCTCAAGCCGTTTTGTAGACCATATGTACATATAAATAAATATTTAATAATTTCTATTTAATTCCCCCCCAGGTCCAACAGCACTTAGTGGACAAGGTGTGGCCCAAGCTGCGAGTGCTGGCGCGCTCGTCGCCCACGGACAAGTACACGCTGGTGAAGGGCATGATAGAGTCGAAGGCGTTCGATACACGCGAGGTAGTCGCCGTCACCGGGGACGGCACCAACGACGGGCCCGCGTTAAAGAAGGCTGATGTTGGATTTGCTATGGTTAGTCCCAAGTTTACACTACGAGACTATTTTTTTTTTAAGCTATTCTTCTTTTGGCACGTTTGGAAGAAAGTATGAGCGTAAATTTTTTGCGACAGCCAAAAGCGACATGATGAAGTTAGCTTTTTAAACAGAGAGTTGGGGTGACATACGGGATGAAATCTTGAGCAACTTTTGTTCTGTTACGCCAAAGCAGTATAACTTCTTACGTGCGTACATAAGTACGCACACAGGTTTTTTTTATAACTGCGACATAAATGTCAGACATTAATTTCTTTATTGTTCACACTACGAAATTTTAGTCTGTATATAAATGTACGGAAATTGTGTCAGAGCTGTTTGCACTTCTCATTTCGTTTCGTGTATTGAAAATGTTGATCCTGTTTGAGACCTTTTAACCACACGAGACAATTAAACAATAAATTGGACAAATTTTACAATTAAAGACACATTATAGAAGAAAGGAGGTACTCGGTGTGTATATCGTAGCCAACTAACCGTTTGATTAGCGGCCTAGCTTTTCAATTAAACGGCGCCGTTTAATGATATCCAACGAATCCGTCTAATACAATATTTCATGATCGGGCTGGCAGATGCTTAGGCCGTTCATAGAATAGAATCTTCTTATAATATAAAAATGAATCGCTGAATGTGTTGGTAAGCGCAAATCTCGAGAGCAGCTGAACCGATTTCGCTAATTCTTTTTTTAGAATATTCCTTGAAGTACGAGGATGGTTCTTACGGAGAGAAAAATTTAAAAAATTGCCTGAAAAAGTCTAAAAACAACACTTTTTTATACTGCCATACAAAAGATTCGTAATAATACTTAAAAGTCAATTTGAACTTTAATACCATAACATAAAGTTTAAGTGTTAGTGGAGAGGTTCCGGGAAGGCAAAACATTGATGACAATTGAGTGACGTTAGAATCGTATCAATATTAATGTCAATATTTGTCAATATTATTAACAAAAAAAAAATTATATGGCTAATGCTGGCTAATAACTATTTATATCTATTTACGTACCTCGCGACGAACCCGAGCGAAGCGAGGGTGAGCCGCTAGTGTATACATAAATATAAAGTATATCCCAAACATTTCAGGGCATAGCTGGTACTGACGTGGCAAAAGAAGCATCGGACATCATCCTAACAGACGACAACTTCTCGTCCATAGTGAAGGCGGTGATGTGGGGACGCAATGTGTACGACTCTATTGCCAAGTTCCTCCAGTTCCAGCTCACCGTCAATATAGTGGCTGTGATTGTTGCTTTCATCGGTGCTTGCGCTATACAGGACAGTCCTCTTAAGGTATGAAATATAAATACATAGGTACGTTTTAACCGTTAGTATGAAATAGAAATCTTTGAATTTCTCAGTTATTCTGTACTATAATATGCATGTGTTATACATATAAATCTTCCTCTTGAATCACTCCATCTATTAAAAAACCCGCATCAAAATCAAATGAATGCCGCCAGCGGGACTCGAACCCGCAACCGCTGGCACAGCAAGTAGAGTCACTACAAACAGCGAAACAAGTCGTCACAAAATGTATATATATATATATATATATATATATATATATATATATATATATATATATACTATATATATATATATATATATATATGTATGTATGTATGTAAAGTTATGTTTAGAGATGTTATAGTAAACGATAGTTAAAATTTATGACGTCATTTAAAATAAAAAAGGTATTATATTCTTAAGAAATATTTCTTTTACATTAAGATATATCTCTCTTTATACGCAACCGTTTTTTATACTTTTTTTGGTTTAAGACAAAGCAAAAAACTTATTAATAAGTAAAATTTAACCAAGATTGGTTCACAAGTCTGTTAGTTTTTTACTCACCTACTTCCAGAAGAAGAGGGTACTCTCCTACTACTCAGTTCAAATTTATGTTTCTTTGGGCAAATGTTTCTCATTAATGTCACTTACAACTACTATATTACTTATTCTATATATTGGGAATCATGCTCCATCAGTTATTATATATTCCACCTCGCAGGCCGTACAAATGTTATGGGTGAATTTGATAATGGACACGCTGGCGTCCCTGGCGCTGGCCACGGAGCTGCCCACGCCAGACCTGCTGCAGCGCAAGCCCTACGGCCGCACCAAGCCCCTCATCAGCCGCACCATGATGAAGAACATCCTCGGCCAGGCGGTGTACCAGTTGTTCATCATATTCACGCTCTTGTTTGTCGGTATGTTTTGTCTTGTCTCTCTTTCTAAATTCCTCTGGCTCTTTCTTTCTTATGGTAATTTATGTAATCTGTATCGGTATTTTAAAATTGGAGAGTTTGTTTTGTTAGATGTGCTAGTCTCTGAAACTAGCGGTAGGATTTGTAAAGTTTTTATTTGGAGTTTTATGAATTATAAAAAATAATTGTTTTTTTTAGTAACTAGCTATTATCGTCATTCGCGTGTGAAATTCTTTGAAGTCCTTTAAAATTGACAAACATCTGTTTCTATTTTTTTATAACAACACGTATAGCAGGAAACTCAAGATGTATTTTAAAAACTGTAAAGTTGTTTTTGACTTCTAAAAGAAGGTGATACTTAATACGGCTGTGTTTTTGTGTATAAATAACGCAATATCTACGTGAATTGTGAATCGATTTCCACCTTTTTTAATGAACACTCACATTTATTATCATACGCTTCGGGTTTGTTCCTAGAAAAAAACAAATCTATTTCCGGGATGATATATAGCCTATAGCCTTCCTAAATAAACGGGCTATCTAATGCAAAAAGAATTTTAGTAGTTCCTGAGATTAGCGCGTTCAAACAAACAAACCAACTCTGCATCTTTATAATATTAGTATAGATTAGTGTAATACATAAAACAATCCCCCATCCCCGTTTCAGGTGATAAATTGTTAAACATCCCATCGGGACGAGGGCAGCAGCTCGGCGCAGAACCCACCCAACATTTCACAATCATCTTCAATACCTTCGTAATGATGACACTCTTCAATGAAATAAACGCGAGAAAAATCCACGGTCAAAGAAATGTTTTCCAGGGACTCTTCACTAATCCTATTTTCTATTCTATTTGGATCGGAACTGCCCTATCTCAAGTGAGTTGATTTTAAATAATTATTTTTAGGTTGGCATTGGAAATAGAGTGAAGCGGGATCGTATCCCGAATCGCAGTCTTGAGATTTTTATATGGGTACAAGCGATTTGCCCTTGCTTTGCACGGGATTATCAGACAGTAATCTAAGTGTATCTCTAGTTTTTAGGTTATATGAATTCTTAATTTCATTTTATCTGTCGAGCCGTATGTGAAAGAGTACTTGCTTGCATATTAGTAGTCAGAATTTTCATATGAAAATCTCATTAGCAACATAATTGACTCTCGCTAATAAGATGAAGGAAAGTGAAAACAATGGTTAGGAAACCTGTTTGTCTCAGAAGACCTAACTAGTTTTCGAGAGACATGTTAAATCCGTCAACTTACATTGGTGGATTATGAAATGAAATGAAATTTATTTAGTAACAATTCTTATACATATACAGTAAAACAATGGCTACGATGATACTGCAAAAGTATAAGCTGCGTTGTAAAGTAAAACTATGGTACTATCCCTATCAAAGGGAGAACTGTTCCCAGTAGCGGGACGTTGAAACAAGGCCTGAATGAGATGAGATCAAAAGCGTCCTGTAATAGTGTAATTAAAACTGCTGTACTCATTAAGTCTATTTACATAATAAAAATACGAGAATCACCCAAATTCCAGGTGGTAATCATCCAGTTCGGCGGCATGGCGTTCAGTACTGCGGGCCTGTCGATAGACCAGTGGCTGTGGTGCCTGTTCTTCGGCGCTGGCACCCTGGTCTGGGGACAGCTCGTCACCACCTTACCCACTAGGAAGATACCCAAGAAGCTTTCGTGAGTATACCCTGATGTATGGGCTATGAGGTTTGGGAAACGCTGCCAATAGTAGAGTCTTATACCCTAAAATCTTATATGTTAGTATACTCTGGTGTATGGGCTCTGAGGTTTGGGAATCACAGACTATAGTAGAATCTTATTACCTAAAATCTTATAGTATATTTTAGTGTATGGGTATTACGGTTTGGGAATAACAAACAATAGGGCTGAGAAACTTACACCTTCTAAAAGAGGTTACTGAAACAGTTTTGTAGATTGAATTATTGTCATAGATTTGTATTAGCGGTTATTTCAATACTTTGCTTTAATCGTTTTCAAAACAAAAATGTTATTTCTAGTACTTAATGTATTGGGAGGTATGTTGACGTAAACGTAGTCTGTGTTTGTATAATTTAAATCTATTGAGCCTTTATAGCTTGAAAAAATAACCGAAAACACTCACTTCACATAAACTTAATGTATATAACAAGATACTGTGAATGGTGGAAAAGCAAAAAACCAATTCCCACTTCTGCTCCAAGACATTCCTCAAGTAACGTTGTGTCAACTTCTAGAAGCGCTAAAATGCGTCAGGATACGTTGTAAGTGAAAGTGCAATATTAAATGTACCGATTTAGCGTTGTCAGTGATGCTAGTTCGAATTTAATTTTCCCATTATATCTATCGTATCTATCGTATTTAGACCGAATTCAAAAAGATGGAGGTACTTAATTCAGATGTATACTTTTTAATGTGAAATCTTTAGGTTATATTTATTGAAATTTTTGTTTTTTCTTTCTCTTGTTTATCTTAAGGGATTTGTATTAATAATAATAACTACCGTATTAGTTAATAATTAAATTTTATAAACTTTAAAGCCATTATGGAGATAGTGATTATGGAGATTTTGTTATTGTAAATGTAAATGCTTAGAGATATTATAAAGATAATATCAGAGATAGAGATAATATGTTCGATTTATGTAAAAAGAAATTGATGGCATAGTAGCTTTGATTTGTCGACGCAGTAGAACGGAATTATATTAACATGAATTAAAAAAAAAAACAATAAATAACCCTTTATAATAACAGTATATAACCCTCAACCAACATATAAATCCCAGATGGGGCCGCGGACAACCCGACCCAGAGACCCTCCAACCGGGACCTGACTACGACGCGGACCTGGACAAGAAGCCCCGGGCGGGACAGATCCTATGGATACGCGGTCTCACGCGCCTCCAGACGCAGGTATGTGCCCGGGGAGGTGCGGGTGCGGGGAGGGTTGGGTGGGGTGCGGGTAGGGTGGGCTGGTATGGGGGTAGGGTGGGGCTTGGATACGTGATGGGTGACGGTGAAGGGTGTAATGTTGTTTTGTATTTTATTAGTATCCATAGTGGGAATGTTAGAGGATTTTGTTTGTTGGTATTGAGATGAATGCGCAAATATATATTTTTTAATTTTTTTTTTTTTTGTAAATTCATCGCAGTCTGTAATGTAATGTGGATTATTTATTTGCATAATAAAAATTTAAATAAAAAAGATATGAATATATTGATAAAGTCATTCGTGTTGATTCCTTTTAGTTTTTATGTCACTTCTTTTTCTCCTATATAATGTTGTGAATGAAATTTTTAAAATAATTAATATCGTCAAAGTAGCTGTTTATTATCCATCACGTATCCATCCGTTAAAACAAAGCTTACGCGATATATTTCCATATTATATGCCCTTTTATAATGGCTGTTAATATGGCTGCGATATAATGCAATATTAGCTTTACAGAACCGAACTTGGGCTTAAATTTTGTGCTGAAAAAGCCATAATTGTGGGTAGATGTCGCAATATGTCTATGGGGGCTATAATAGTAATTTATACACCATTGGTTATGAGAGTTATCTTTTTAATAAATAACTATTATAGATTTTTCTTAATAATGTGTTGATTATTATTTGCAATATCCCAAAATTTAAAGAAAACAATAGTAAATAAAAATTGAATTTGCAAATAGTAGTCAAGTCTTAGATGATGATCATGTTAAATTATTCCTTCATGATGATTTCTAAGACCTAAAGGTGGTTACTGTATAAAATTTACGTTCTCATACGATTCGTTTAAACAACAAATAGTAGATTTTATACAGTAACAGAATGATAAATGATGTGGAATGAAAATAATGATATAATAGGAGTGGCAGAAAGTGTTCGTGCATAATATATAAGAGGGATAAGTTTTGAGGTTACAGCGGTACGGATAGACTGTAGTCTATCGGTACATTACCATCAGGTCAACACTGCGGATACCGTGGGCATCCTACGCTAAGTCGAATATTATTGTCCATTTATATATTATTTTACTATTTTTGCATTTACAAGCCGATACCACCATTTTCAATACTATGCATTCATATAATATATATAAAGTATTGCAATAACCTACTTACGGGTTACGCTGTTTCTCATTTCGCTACACATTTTTGATTTATTGGTACAGAAAGCCGGATTATTCACAGTTCTGATAATATTATATGACACAAGTTTATTGCGATAATGAATTCAAACTTTCAAACTGAACGGTTATTATTTTTTTGTTGATGTTTTTCAAGTTTTGTTTTGTTTTAGTTTTTTTCACTTATCGTTGTTTTTTTTACTATCCTATACTTATTTTTTTTATCTTTCAATAGTTATTATTTTCATACCTACACAGAGAAACACTTTACAGAGTAATGTAGTGACGCTATTATTTTGGCCCATATTTAACGTAGTGTGTTTGTTCGCTCGCTAATTTCCACATTTTGGACTGTTTTTGTAAAAAATATATATATAATATAAGGGAATTGGCAACCGAACAACAATAGAATTTATCTTTTCTAAAACTAATTAATTTGACGACCTGGTTTCTTGACATCCTCTTTTACTTTCTTATTTATCAAGATCTTTTATCTCTTTCTTTCGATCTGTAACTCTATCTCTATCTTTCCGGATGTCACGAGGCCAGGCCGAGACCTAGAAATACACTAGATAGCTCTAAACATCGCGAGTACGGCCGTGCATGTTCCGCAGTACCGATATACAGTCTGACGCTTCCCAATAGATTTCTTTTTTTAATTTTTTTTTTCATAAAATACCCGAGTTGACTTTACTGCCCCAATCTCCCCACCCATTGGCATGATTTATGTAGGCTGTGACGAATGTACTTATCCCTCATAAAACAAACAGTCTCTATGACTACCCCGATAGATATTCACATAACATCAAACCACATAGCGATATAAAATGACTATTTCTTTTTCTATCTATCTTTTATTTAGTCATACTGACTGTTTGTTTTTTTTTACAATTTTTTGTGTTTTTTTTTTAAATTATAATTATAATTTTATGTTTTATTTTTAATTAAGAATAGTGTTTTTTTGCTTGTGAAACGCCAACCCGATACATCCTCGCTACTGATCCAACCCGCTCGTTTGAATGAGTTTACGCCGAAGCCCGCTAGCAAGGCCGCACGGCGTACTAACAAACGTTACCGATGTCGATGAGCATTAATTTTCAATATTTTGCCCACTTTTAATTATTTTAATGTATTATTTTTGTACCGGATTGTGTTCAGTTGATTAAAAGAACGTTAATTTGAGTGTGGAGTGGATTTTTCTTAAATTAAATATATAGAGCATGCCGTGAGTGCTCGCCGAACTAACACCCAGATAACCGTCGGTCGAACCTATCTTTCCTTTGCCGTTGTACCGTCAATGTTATATGTTTTGTTTTGTTTTTGTTATGTTTTTTTTTTGTATGTGAATGTTGTCCTTTCGAGCCGTGTTTTGGGGGTGTTTTGTCAGTCAAATGTAAGGGGTGTAAGCGTCAAACTGGACAGCGAAGAGTTGAATGTCCGTAGTGCATTTTGCCTTGCCGTTGGAAAGCCTTCATTGTGTTATTTTGCGTATTTTGTTAGGCTAGCTGTAGTGTCCGTATGTATTGTGTATATAGTGAAACATCTAGGCGTGTCGGCGCTTGGTAAGTATCACTTAGAGAGTAACACGTTCCAAACTAAATTTAACAAAAATAACTAAACCAGTGAATTTGTGTAGCTTCCTAACAGTTTCGATATTACAATTCTGATAATTACCAAAAAAAAAATTTTTTCTTATGATGGATATTAAAATTTAATTTTAGATTATTTTTTGGTGGTATCATATTGTAAAATCGATGGAACTAAAATTTTGTAGGCAATTGTTCCTCCTTGGCTCCCGAAATTGGATGTTTAATACTAAAATTAAAAATGGCATGCTAGAATATAAGTTAAAATCATCAAAGATCCATACAAAGAACGTACGAGATAAAATGCGAGCCACCACCATATGGAATTTGAATTAGATAGAAAATTTAAAATATGCTATAAATAAAAACATAAATAATACTTTGATAAATACGTGTATTACGTTAAAGGCATTGTGCTGGCATATTTTAGGTGTAACGGCGTCATTGGTAGTAACCCTGGTCCAAGCATCTATAGGTGTCTCCCTGCGTTGTGTAGGAGTAGTGTAGCCGTCTAAAGGGTAGCTAAGGCCTCGACTCGAATCCTATTTTTTTAGTTGTTTATCTTCAGTTTATCATTATTATTTTTGATTTGTTCTCATTTATGTCGGCACCCCAATTCATATCTTTCACGCGACACAGGCCCCGGCCGCATACATGCCTCATGCAACACTAACACATTTATGTTTTTGTTCAATTACCAGCTCTAACCGCGTCCTCGTTCGCGTTATTGCATGTCTATACAATAATTATTTAACTATTCAATGTTTGTATTTTATGCTGTTGAAACCCCTGACCGAATTTAACCTAACCCAAAGTTTCTATGAGTAAACTGTGAAAAGCCGGTTGAAATTAATTCTTCGATTCACTAGACCTCATCAACCCCATATAGACATACAAACTGACATTTTGTATATTTGTATAACATCCTAGTTAGCATCGTTGACACTAATTGTCCCACAAACTTTCATGTACAGACACCGATAATTTACTATTTTATTATATGTACTTTAAAGGGTCTTTTTTCCGTGTTGGCCTGCTTGTAGCTACGACAGATATGGGGACAAAAAATAAATATTTTTGGGACTGGTCAATGATATACGACGTATTTTTGATCGTCCAGACGTCATCTGTTTTGTAGATTTTATTTACCTTTATAACCTCCGCTACTATATATCGGTTTCTTTTGATTAACCTTTTTATTTTTTTTATAAAAATATTTATTTCAAATCCAAAATTAAGTTATCTTTTTATATTGTAACTTAGTATTGACTTCAGTGAACTTAGCATTAGAAATTTAACTAAATCGTTAAAGTATTTAGACAGTAGTTAAACTCAGTCATCTGTGAAATACTATTTGGTGTCGACTTAAAAATAAATAATCTTGATAATCGAGAACTAAATAAATTAAATGATGAATAAACATCTAATTCTTCTTAGTCAATTCATTTTGCTATTTCTTGCATAGGTCTAACGTTTCCATTCACTTCTTATATACTAAATCTAAGCCTTTACCATACAATGGTGTTCATAGATGACGTCGGACGAGCAAATGTTGTCACTTCCGATGACATTCCGTAGTACTATCACCTAGAAGGTGTATTGAACTCTATGTTAGAGTAGATAAGATAGGTTTTGTCGCCCCATATCTGGGCGAGCGGTTGTAAAGCTAGGGCTGCGTGGCATAGGACGGTGTCGAATGGGGCGAGCCGCGCGTCGTAGAGAGATGTTGTTGGCAGCCCCGACCGGTGTTGGAGACGGAGGTGTAGTGGCGGGCGCGGCGGCTGGCGGCGCGCTACGTGCGACGGACGCTCACGGTACACCACCCCTAGCCCTAGCCCTAGCCTAGCTCTAGCCTAGTCTAGCTTAGTCTAGCCTAGTCTAGTCTAACACGCCCGCGGCGAGTCACGGCACTGTCGCCCTAACTACTTGTACTGGTTGCGTTGTTGTACGTGTGAAATGTTGTGGTTTCCACTCGTTGTTAAGATGTATCACGATTTATCATTTTTTTGCTTCACTTATTATATTTTTGTTGCTTCGGTTTTGTCTTTTTTTTCTTCATTTAGATGTTAGTGTTCGGTTGTTTGTCTCCATTAGTTTACATGAGTTTTGATCATTTTCCTCAATCTTCGTTCGATCTGATTTTTCGTTTCGGAACATCCATCGAATGCTATATAGCGCACACTCACATCCGGCAAGCGACAGTGTCGGTGACTCACCGGGAGCACTCCAATAGTTCTGTTCGTCTGTTTGCATCTCCCACGTTTCTGGCTGTAGATGTCGCCCTCATCTGGCACCGTCCGCCCTCGCACCCTGTCTCCACTCGCGCTATACTTCGACCCTAACCCAGCTTCGATCTTCACGAACCATCGAGGCCAGGATCTGTCGGTCACACCTAGTTTCTTTTGCATGGCCACCGGGCACAGGTGATCCATCGTCTGGCATGTGTAGATATAGCAAGACTCGTCGGCGGGAGCGCGCTAACGGAATCCACACCACACTCGTGTAAGCTTGTCGCGATCGGTGATCCGTCCGGGACGGTACGGGATCCGTAGGGGGTCTGTAGGGGTAGGCGCGTCGCGAGGGTGACGTCACGCGTGTTGTTGGTTGCAGCTGCGCGTGGTGCGAGCGTTCAAATCCACACTGGAGGACCTGGAAGAGCGTCTGTCCGCGCACTCCGCGGCCGGGCTTCGCTCGCGGCTGCGGGCGGCGCCGCAGGACATCGCCTACATCGACGCGGACGACGTGCCCCCCGCGCACCCCGCACACACCCCCCACTCGCAACAAACCGCCCCACGCACCGAAACCACCATATTCTAACTTCAACCGTACTTAACGCGCCCCGAATCGGCTCAAGCGATTACTTCTAAGTGTTAAATGATTAGATCATAGCAATAATGTAGTTAGGCCGGACGTTAGGTGACACCGAATCGTGCCTGTTGCCGCGCGTTTACGTTCCGACTCACACCTGACTAGAACGGGGAATGCTTTCATATTGATAGCGCCTAGTTTAGCCTCGGACCCTAGGTCTCGCCGACTCCGAATGTAACGAACACTGCTACTCTATAGACGAAAATATATGTAAATAAGTTTGTAATTTTCTCGAACGTCTTTATATGTATATCAGTGCAGTGATATTTTGTATAGCTGTTACGAATTGAGATAATTCCTTAAAGTAAACTTTGTAACTTAACTCTTATTGTCTCTTAAATTTTACTATATTACTATTACTTAAATAATTATTCTTACTAGTTTTGTGCGAGTAGTGTGGACGAGGGGCACGATCGAAGCTTAATTGAAATCGACGTGCTCCGATCGGCTGCTTTGGTGTTTTGTTTCATAGTAAATTTGGGACCACTTTACCCCGTTTCTGCCTAAAACTGGGATACAATTAGATTCTACAATTATATGTATAACTATATGTTATTTTATTCAGATTAAACCTATAGAAGAACACTGTAATCTTATAATAATAGCTGTATGTACCTTGTATACGCCGACCTGGAGTTAGTATGAATGAATGGCACTCGTCACACGACGCTCACATGTGAGAGCGAACGAACTAAACTATAACTTGTAGAGTATGCGAATGTTACGAGATCTATTTACAATTAATAAATTTTCAAACAAATTCCATAGCATTTTCTTTCAATAGTATTTGTTATGGTGGGGGCCGCCCAGTCTTAGAACGAACGCTCTATTTCAGATGTTAACGGTAAGTTTAGATCTGACCGAGTAGGCCTCCTGCGAGACGCCGACATCACTCATAGGTACCCATAGGTATTACATACATAGCCTAGGCATAGCCTCTGTCTAGAATCTAGATCGGTATCAGTACAGTAGTCGCATGACGCCCGTGTTGCACGTTGTCTGACGTCTTCGGTACTTTCACGCTCTGGCTTAACAATTATAACAAACCCTCGTAAACACGTCACCGATTAATAAGACGGAGAAGCAAGCCGCCATTTTGTGACTTGCACGTCTACAAAATGGCTGCAGCATTTAGATTGTAAGTACAGAGTATATATTGAAGATGTATTACTTTTAACTTTGGTACAAATGTTGTTTTTTTTTTAATTTTTGTAATGATTAATTTTTGCTTCGCATTTAAAGTGTGATCATGCTTATGTTACAGCGTTATGCATGTATACTGATGTCTGTGAGTATGCACAAGTTGTTTTTTTTTTAAATTTAAATTAGATGTTTGGTAGCGTATCTGATTGTTTACTGATGCTTTATATAAATTTAATTTATTATTTAAAGTTCAAGTTTTACATACTTATACGCAAAGAACGCCAGTTTTTGTCATTATTTCTTATTTTACCGAAATATTTAATATTTATCTATAATTCCATCACAATAACTACCAAACCTCTAACTTTAGCGTTAAAGAAGCTAAAAAATGAGAAATATACATAAATAAAAATCCATTACTACACCAAAACTAGCAATTAAGTATCAAATATAATTTATGGTTACAAAACTTAAAAGCCTGTACTAATTTTATTTTTTTTCTCATTTATTATTATTTTTTATCGTTGACTCGGTTGTGTAAGTACTTATTTAATAAGTTGATTTCATTATCTTATTTTTGAGTTACATGTAACGATTACTCTTAAAATCAATTACTTACATACTTAACCGGCTTAAAAACATCTTAATATTAACTCATTTAAATAAATATATTTATTTGAATTGTACCGATATTTCATTTGAACACCCGAGGACCGCACCGTCAGCGCGCGATAGCTCACATACCGGATTGTAACTTATCTCGTAGTAGTAGCTTTCCCACACGGTATTTTTTTCCTATATATATATTTTATATATTTTTTCATTGCTACTGGATGCCCCGCCCCAGCTAGTGTGAATGCCCCTATCCTAGATAAATTTAGGCACCTAATTAGTAACGAAACTGCTACTTTAAAAATTTTTAACAAATTTTCTATTAACAGCTACAATTCCTCACTTCTTGTAGTTTTGGGATTCTAAAACCAAAATGCTAACGCATCAATTCTTCCTTGTCATTTTAACAAGTGAATAGTCTCGCATTCGTTACAACAAGTGTTGCCAGAGTTTGGTTTTGGAACGCCATAGCCCTTTTTCTTTTTTCGTATTGGCAACACCTAGCAGTTTGGTTACGTAGCGTAGCCTGCGCGTGCGCCGCCATTAAGCAACTGACGGCTCCGTCGTGTTGTTTTACAGCAAAAAGCGGACATATTGGCCGGCCGCAGGATATTTGTCAATAATTATTTGGCAGAGCACAGGAGGATCAGCGTACAGTCTGGCGGCAGCTTGCCCGCGCTCAGCCCGATCTCGCATCAGAGCGATGACTAATAAACAAAATCTAAAACAAAATATACACCAAATATACAAACTTATACACCAAGACTCTAAACGTTTAATGTAATCTTTCGATGAAACATAAGCTTTTTATATATCGTGGTGATCAATATTAACTGCCAAGAAACGCCTGTTAATAATTTTTTCTAAATATATAATCTCCATTTTCAATATTCCGTAAAATCTCGTAAGTGTGAACGTAGTTTAGTTAAGAATTGAAATTGTTTACTAAAATTAGATTAAGCGATATATTAAAACTTGCAAAGTATAAAATATAACTATAGTTTTAAAATTATGGTGCACTGTTCTAAATCGAATACACTAGCGGTAAAGTTAAATATTCTCTTATAGCCGATAGTTAGTGAATCAGAAGCACGTTCATTTATTTTTTTACGAAGCGGTTATAGAAATAAACTTTCTGTAAATATCAATAAATACTTTTCCTTTTAGTTCTTAATGAATGTTCTATAACGTTGTTGTGTGTTTAGAAAATGTTGAAATTTTATATTGAAAATTTATTTTATTATGATGATACAATCCATGTGCCATGTTTATAAATGAATTCATTATTTGCTACCCAAGTGCTTATATAAGTATAATTATAGATATTTAAATTTGCTTGATATTTTTCTCATTTTGTTTATTGAATGCGATTTTAGATGTGATTTTGTGAAGACTTGGTGTTTATGTTTTAGAGACGGATTGTTTTGATGTTGATTGCAAATACCCTGAATGGGTTTTACAAAGTACATTTTATTTTGTGTGTCGGGATTCGAACCCCGACCTATAGAAATTTACTTTGTAACGTTGTTTTAATGTATGCAGTATCGGCTGAAATGTGGAGCCTATAGATATCATATATTTCTTCTTAATATCTTTTTATTCTTCTCTTATTAGATACAGCTTTGTTTAAATTTATGTGTTTAAATTAATATCTAAAACATTACATACTATGCATGTGGTAGAATTTTAGTAATAGGTATTTTTTATGACTGTATTTTTTTTTCAAAGTAGTCCTACTGTTGCTATCACACTACACTGTTCTACTCTCTAGTCTTCCAAACTTCTGTTTGTTCCTTTTTATTTCTCATACCGCAGGATTAGTCTCAAGCAAATTTAAATATCCTGACGATGTGTGAGGATTTGTACTAGATAATATATTTATGTTAACTACGTCTTAACGTTTACATGTAATTGTTTGACGCACTTTGTGTAGTAATCGCCTGCTATTAAGTTTTAAGGTTAGAAGTTAAAATATTATAATAAAATTCTAATTCGTGTTTGGTGTACACCAAGTGATAGTTATAAAAGTAAAACTTTTATCAAAACCTTTTTAATATTACGCTTATAGTGTTTTTTCTCACGCCGATAGATTAACACTTAAAAAACATAGTGGCATGATTTTCTGCTACACGACCAACGAACGTGGTATAAACTGATACTCTATTAATTCGTTGTCTCTACTGCTGCTTGTCTCTTAATAAACCTTAGTAATAAAGTATCTATATTCGAAAGTAACTTTCATTTCACCCCGTGCCTCGTTTGGAGCTGCATTTATAAGGTAACTGGCCGTCTACGAAAGTGTTTGTCCTTAATGTTGGCCAAATGTTTGATGTTGTCGTCCAAAGTTGGCCAGAATGTTTGTCGTACGATAGATCGATGTTAGAGACCGCTTAGCTTCATCTGTCTAGTGCAGCACAGCATGAGCCCGTAGATTTAGATTACAGGTGAAATTATATTTGATAATTTACTCATGATTTTCATGAGTAAGTTATAAATAATGAACTTTCGTCTCTATATGTGAGGTCAACGTTAGCTGTTTTATTTAGTACGTGCTTCATAGAATTTAGTATCACATATGACATGTAAATAGATTTATGTTGAAACCGAAATATAGAAAAATCGGTATGATCTGTTCATTCATTTGCTGTCACTCTGCCCATAACGCTTTTATATATTAATTTTACGTAGTAATAAATTTTATATTTTAGATAGATATCTGGTATGTGAGCAACTCCGTCGATACAATATGTGTGCTTATTAGATCGTACCGCATGGAGACCCGAAACTGTACACACGACCGTGTGTGCTTACACACCGACACACACGCACAGATAATACAAAGTTATTAAAAATCAGTGTTTAAGCTTCAACTCGCATTACCTCTTCGAGAGCTATATGTTCATTTCTGATCAATGTTTCAAATATTTATATTACGTTAATTTTATGTTTTTTTTTTGTTAATATTGTTTAATTTACGATTTAAAAATGGATGTAAAGGAGCCCTGGATGGAATTGTATAATATAGTTATTAAGTGCACAACCCATGAATGTGCTTGTTACGGTTATAGGAAGTCCCTGCGTTATTTTAGTTCACCTACTCTATCTTTAATTTATCTTCTTCCCGAGACCTGTTCGCTTCGCGAGGCACTCCTAGGCTTTCGAACAGACCTAAATATATACTTTATATATACACTGTAAATCTTTCACTGCTACGCTATCGGACGTTATTCAAAATGTTTATTTACACCTTTTAACCAATTTATTTTGTGAAAAACTTACATTTATTTATCCTTTAAGTTGTAGATTCTACTTTTGTATTATATATTTAGTTACTATTATTTATAGTTATATTTTACACCAATTAGGAT